GCCACTTGAGCCATACCCCTAGTCTTTGTTTGCTTTTGGTGTATTTTCTGACAAGGTCTCATCTCATGCTTTGTATGGCCTCAGCCGATGATGCTCCCGGCTCTTCCTCCCACATACCTGGGATTATCTGCACGTGTCACCATGGCCAACTTGTTCTTGAGCTAAGGTCTCACTGACTTTTATGCCTGGCTAATCTTGGGCCACAATCTTCCCATTTCCACCACCCACACAAGTGGGATTACAGGCATGAATCACCATGTCCTGCCTAACATTTTGCTTTTCAATCTTATATGTACATATAAAATAAAATTTGACAAATTTAGTCATTGAACATATTTTATCACTTTAAAATACTGTATTTCTTTACTCTCAAATTTATGGATACCTAGATTTTTTCCACCATTATTCTCTTTGAGTTGATGCTGCATATGTGCTATCATGCATATATAATTATGTGAATATTTTAGTTGAAGTATACATTCACACACATATATACACATACACTTAATGGTCTGCAATCTTATGATCTGTAATTTTATGCCTTAAAGATGACCACTCAAAGCACACATTAGAAACTTTGGAAAATTAGAAAATTTATTTTATAAAATATAGCTTAAATTGCTATTCATATATTTTGGAAGAGAAATAGAAGATTTGTACAGAGGAAGAAAAAAGAAAGCACCTTTAAATACTTGAAGAACCATCCTTCTGAAGTGAGGATAGATTTTTTTCTTTAAATTACAGATGATATAACCAGACAAGAAATTAAGCTGTCTTATGAAGTAGTTCTTTGTGTTGGAAGAAACTACCCCAAGACTTGTTAAACATTTATTGTGTGATTACTTATGAAGAGGTTGAAAAAAATTACTTTGCTGACTGAAAATCAGTTACAATCAAATAATCTTTCTTATTTATCATTTAGTTGGTTAAAAAAAACTTTTTCTTTTCTTTGGCATCCTGGAAAAATTATTTTGTAATATATAATTACTCCACTGCAAGATGACCTCATATCTCTAAAGGAAAGTTTCTTTTTAAATTTCTTTTATTCATATGTACATACAATGTTTGGGTCATTTCTCCCTTCTTCCCTCCCCCCCACCCTGCCCCGCTTTCCCTGCTCCCTCCCTCTTCCCCCCACCCCCTTGCTACCAAGCAGAAACTATTTTGCCCTTATCTCTAATTTTGTTGAAGAGAGAGTATAAGCAATAATAGGAAGGACCAAGGGTTTTTGCTAGTTGAGATAAGGATAGCTATACAGGGAGTTTACTCGCATTGCTTTCTAAAGGAAGGTTTTTTTACTTCCTCCAATGAAATCACTTTCCTGGAATGAGCATAGAAGGCTTTATATTGCATTGTTTTAGAATATTGTAATTACACAGTTGAGGGCAAAAGAAGCAGAGCTCTTACTACTTCAAGGCAGGACCTGAAATGCTGCTCTGCAAAGTTTAGTTCAGGGGCCAAGTTAAAAATGCATCAAGTCAAGATTATAATACAAATATTCTCATCATGAAAATATGACTCATAGCAGAAAGCGAGAATCTTGAAACAAACTGGAGAACACCAAATTTGAAGACAATAAGGAAGAAGTCAAAGACAAATTATTAAAAAGGTAAGCATTATACATGTATTGTGAACATATTATTGGACTAGGGAAGTAGTTCGTGAACTTTCTTCTATATGCAAAATCAGCAAGCAAGAGGGTAGTGGTTATCTCAGTAAACTGGGACTTCATCTGGTAGGAGATCTCCATTTTCCCTCTCTCTGTCTGTATGACTGCATTGGTTTGGAAGTAACTGAGAGTAACTGGATCAGAGTTCAGTAGACAAAGGGAAATACATTGCAACCATTATCTGTCCTTTCTCAGCCTCTTTCATGCTTTCTATTCAGAAACTATTTGGCCATTGGCTAAAAATTTATGTGTTGACTATCTAAATTTATTTTTAATGGACTGACTACACAAAGATCTGTAAGTCGATAAGGTTGCCTTTATGGCTTTTGCTCCTGGGCTTGTAGGAAATCAAGTATTATGCATTAAAGCCAAGAGAAATAATGCATGCTTATGGTTTTGGAGTTCTACTGACATATATTAGGGATATTAATGTAGCAACAATATTTATGTACCTAACTTGGTCTTGTATCAACAAATGGTGGAAATTCCCTTATGATGTATTTTGGGAACTTAAAATACTTCTCTCTGTAGAAATGAGGCAGTGTATGATTCATTGGCTGAGAAGCTTCTGGAGCTGTTCATAGTTCAAGGAATTCAGAGTGATATAATTTCTATGGTTTTCCATAGTACATCTGTCTTAGAATTTTACAGCTGAATGTAGCTTTAAAGATAGCCAGTTGTCTTTTAAGCTTATTCAGATATAGCAAGTGGAAAATGTTATTCATCTTTACTAGTGAGCACCTACACTAATTATTAAGAAGAAGATGAGCTGCAACCTTGAACCTGATTTATTCTACTTGAATTATGAAATAATGGGGAATTAGTGTGGAGAGAAACTTCTAGATGTGTCCTGTATTTTGAAAAATGTAGACTGATAAACATGATCACTTATTAAAATGTGTAGGAAATTTGGATATTTTCAAAATACCTTTTCCCAAAAATGATTTTTGAAAATGATATACTACTAATTTTAACCTGTAAAGATAACATTTTATACTCTTTCTCCTCTATCTCCATCTCCCCCTCTTCCTTCTTCTCTCTCTTTCTTCATCTCCATATTAATGACTGTTATTTTCCACTCTGCAATGTAATGAGTGAGATCACCATTTCACATTTTAGAACAGAAGCTGAGGATCAAGTCAAGGAACTGTTTTTTCCACTACAAAGCACAGAACCTGAGTCTGTCTCATTTCAGAGTCCATTACTCTTTTCTATCACACATATCACAATGTTTAGCTTTAATTGTTTGTTCAAAAACTTCTCCCAGGTTATTAAAAGAATTATTACTGTAAGTGTATAATCTACTAATTGTGTGAGATTAGAAAAGTTAGTAGTCTCAGTTTCTCTATGCCTCAGTTACCTCTGTTGTAAAATGTATATGTGAATGTCAGCTACTTTTCAGTGTTACTGAAAGATTAAGTGAATACCTGTACTATGCTTAGTAAAGTGCTTAAAACATAAAAAGTACTATAAAAGTGACTTTCGTTTATATTTTATAATACAAGTATGTACAAAATATTGTGTGATTCTTTTAAGTGTTAAATCCTATTATTAAATAAAACTTTGGAGCATTTTTCCTAAGATTGTAATCATTTACTATTACCAAGAAATATAAAACTATAGCAAGAGTAGTATGAAAATATAGCTCCATGTTCTTAACAACTACAATATGTGCATATTTGTAAATATCACAATGAAACCCCTTTGTACAATTAATATATTCTAACCAAATAAAAAGAATAATGCTGTGCTTACTATACCAAATGGTTGAGTTGACTTTTGGAATTTCCACAATACAAACTTTATACAGTGGATTGGATACTATAAACAGTTCTTTGTGGCATCAAATTTTACCTTTTAAAAATCGTAGTTGTGGCTGTTCGGGAATTTTTTGTCATAGAAATGGGAACATTCTTCTTTTCAATATTTATTTGCCTCATTCTCTTACTTGCCCATGAAAACAAATGACTTTATATTCCTGCAATGTCCCAAATCTTCCATATGAAAATGGGAATATCATCTCCACACGATGGATACTTATATATAGATCAGTTTGTGCCTTATTGGTTCATGCTGTTGTGTAACAATTTTCTAAATTCTTTTTAAAAGTTATATCATAACCAAATGCAAAGATGAAGGCCCCTTAAAGGTTAGAATTTAGTGTTTCAACATCCAGGTTAAAATTACTTAATGAAGGCTTATAAACAGTTTAAACATTTTTAATTAGTTTGCTATGGCTATTGATACAATTTCCTCTCTAAAATATCAAATATATATTATTTTAATTAAATATAAATAACTTTGTCCCAACAAACCACCGAAGAACATGGAATGCAGTTTCACTCAGTACAAAGCAAACAAGGATCTTTTGTATACTGCTGAGTACACAGAGCTGAGTCAAAATGTTTATCTCTTGAGAATCTATTATGTGTTTGAAATGTCCTACATATAGTGAGACATTTGCAAAATAACCATTTGTGAAAGGTATTGTAGATGTTGACAAAATCAAATGTGTCTGACGTATAGAAAAAGATAAAAGGTACAATCAGAAGAAACAGACTGAAATATGTCAGTGACCATTGGCTCATTCATAATTGATAGGTCTTTATGTGAAAAAGGTGAATTTTCATTAACTACTATAAACAGAATCAAAGGAAGTCTTCTTGCCCTTCAGAAAAACTTCCAGAATACTCTATTCACTCTTTTTTTCCCCATCACATAACAAATTGTTTATAGTAAGTGTGTTAAAAACTTGTGAAACACATTGTAATTTTCAGTTGGTCCACTTGGCCTTGCATTTAAGCCTGATTGCACCCACAATTTGCTCCTGGTCAACCATTCCTAGCTTCATTCTATGCTTCATAGCATTGCTGTTTCCTCCACCTGACCACTGGGCTCATGGTTCCTGAATACATCTTTCATATTTTTACATTTATATCTCTATTTCTGTTATTTCCCCTGTCTGAGATAGTCTCTCCTTTGTTTTTTTGGATATATATTTGAAACTTTAAAATATTTAAAATTTCAAACATTTTATTTGAGCTGAAATTTCCCCTCTCACTGGCATCTTTCATTTTAGTAATTTTTATGTATCACTGACTTAAAATCATTTCTGATTTTATATTATTTTGTTTTTTAACTTGTTTATCTTTCCTTAATTATAATAGGATTCATATCTATTTGTATTGCCCACCTTCCTCTAATGTTCCAAAAGCAACTATGGGTACTAAATAGTAATAAACTGATTTTCATGTATATTTCATTAAATTAAATAGACTCAATTGAAATCTTATATTTTCTTTTGTTTATGAAAGGCATGACATAATGCCAGTCATTGTGATATTTTCCTTTATTTAGGTAGCTGTTGATTAGAGACATGGCTCTCACTAATGGATCAATGGTATCTGAGTTTGTGCTTCTGGGACTCTCCAATTCTTGGGGACTTCAGCTTTTGCTTTTTGCCACCTTCTCTATGGTCTATGTGACATCAGTCTTAGGCAATGTGATGATTATTGTCATTATTTTCTCTGACTCCCATTTGGACTCTCCTATGTACTTCCTGCTCAGTAACCTTTCCTTCATTGATATCTGCCAGTCTAACTTTGCCACCCCCAAGATGCTTATAGACTTTTTTGTTGAGCACAAGACTATCTCCTTTGAGGGCTGCATGACCCAGATATTCCTTCTTCACAGTTTTGTTGGGAGTGAGATGCTGCTGCTTGTAGCTATGGGATATGACAGATTTATAGCAATATGTAAGCCCCTGCACTACAGTACAATTATGAGTCGGAAGCTATGTGTAATTTTTGTGTCTATTTCTTGGGCAGTGGGTATTCTTCATTCAGTGAGCCACTTGATTTTTACACTGGATCTACCATTCTGTGGTCCCAATGAGGTAGATAGCTTCTTTTGTGACCTTCCCTTAGTGATAAAGTTGGCTTGCATGGATACATACGGAATGGAAATTGTGACCCTGACTAACAGTGGCCTGATATCACTGGGCTGTTTTCTGGCTTTAATTATTTCCTATACCATCATTTTGATCACTGTCAGGAATCGGTCCTCCAGTGGGTTATCCAAGGCACTTTCTACATTAACTGCCCATATCACAGTGATGATTCTTTTCTTTGGGCCTTGCATTTATTTCTATATATGGCCTTTCAGCAGACTTTCTGTGGATAAGTTTCTTTCTGTCTTCTACACGATTGGGACACCCTTACTGAATCCTATCATCTACTCTCTGAGGAATGAAGATGTTAAAGAGGCCTCACGGAAGTTGAGAAAACATCATGCAAACTCTTGGAAAAGCTGAGGATCTATGTGAAAGCATAATGCTGGATTAGAGTGAGAGCCTCCTGGGGATGATAGCATCATGCTAATTATTGTTGTTAGTGATATAGGTTATTGAAATGACTTTCTGTCCTAAATGCAAGACAACTGCATAAAACCAGTTCCTGGTTCTATTTAAATACAATTTTAGATATAATTTTTGTGTAATTTTTTATATATCTGAAGTGCATATTGTGTTGAAAATATTTAGTTGCACTTTTTAAATATTCTATAAAGAATTTTGAGTTTCTTATGTGTATGAAATGTCAATCATGTTACTAAATTTGTGATTCTCTTCAATTGAGCACATATTTTTTAACTTGCAAACAGAATGTACAAATTGGAGTTCTGGTATCTTCACTCAATTTCCTCACACCATTACATCCATTCATATAGTGTAAAAATCATGTTTTACAACATTGGTGCACATTTGTTACCTTACCTTTTCATTGTATATTGAAATGTGTTGGCTATTTATAGTTTAGTTCTTATATATTTTGTTATTGATAATATCCTTTATGTGCTACTTTGTTCATGTGCAGTTTTTATATATTTTTGGATTATTTGATACATTTTTCCACTTATAAAACTTATTCTGAATATTTGTTGTCATCAGCCACATAAATATTTATTTTCCATTTCTACTTATTTTTAAGGCAGGATAACTTGCTTATAATGAATTCTACATTACTCACAAAAAGTTACAAGTATCTTTACAATTGCTCACAAATATAGCAATGTTTAAATACTTAAATTCAAAGATATTAAATATTTAATCACTATTTAAATATTAAATGTTTAAATACTTAAATTCAAAGAGAAAGTTAATATGATATATGGCTTAAACTTATAAATGCCTGAAGTGACACTAATTATTTGCAATTGAGAACCAAAACAATTATTTTATGTTTTTTGTGAAAATGGAAAAAAGTAAGCTTTATGTGCAGGTAATAACAAAGATGAAAAGCATCTATCAAATATTGCTTCATTTACTGGCCAATTTTTTTAAGTACCTCCCTGAGATTTACATTACAGTCTGTGATTATCATCTCTCCAGATTCAGTATTTTAACATTTTACTTCCCAGGATGTAAGGCATCTATGTGCATAGATACTAACTGTGTGTGCTATGGCTTAGGACAGCAGAACTGTGAATATGGACACACAGCCTCGCTAAGCCATCATATCAGGTGGATTTTGTTTTTTGTAATTTTAGAACTTTGGCCAACTTCAATTGCACAATGCCAAATATGGTGATGTTCTTTTAAAACCTGACTTTCTGTTATATTTTATACAGACTGAAAACACTTTGTATGTGCAATAAACATGAAAGTAGTCATGATATTGTTGGTAGTATATATATTTTTTCTTCTTCTTCTGGTTAATGTGGAACACTTCACCTTCTTTTCCTTAGTACAGAGGCCCCCTTATCTATGTATTGATCACATTGGTTATGGCTAATCACAGTTCAAAAATAAAAATAAAAAAAGTTTCTGTGGGCACCTTATTCCGCTCAGATGATGGGAAAAACTCTTGCTCAAGCCTGTCTTATCATTGCTAGTATTTAATTCATTCTGTGATCTGCTGAGCATTTCCTTGCCCTTAACTTTGTGAATATCTGTTTCCCAAAATGCAAGCTAAAAGTTGTGGTAATCCTCACAAGCCAAAAAAGGACATTAATGTGCTTAAGTGATAAAGTGAAAATTGTAGATTTGTTGAAAGGAGCATGTGTTTAACAGAAGTTGGGTGGTGTTATGGCAAAAATTAATTAAGCATCCACAATACTCACAAAAGAGAGTGTGAAATAAACTGGGCACCAGTGGCTCATTCTTATAATCTTAGCTACTCAGGAGGCAGAGATCAGGAGGACCATCGTTCAAAGCCAGCCTGGGCAAACAGTTCACAAGGCCCTATCTCAAAAAAAACCAGCAAAAAAAGGGCTGGTGGAGTGGCTTAAGAGTTTTTTACTATATAATTTATATACAGTTATATTAATAAGAATATGTCAATATAATACATATTACTATTATATAAGATATAAATATAGCATTGATATATAAATTATATAACAAATACTATGAATTAAATCTATACTATTGTATACATTTAATACAATTTAAATACTATTAAAATATTTACATAATTATATAATAAATGCAATATATAACATATTGATATATAATAATATTATTTAGACACCTACTGTTATAAGTAAAAGATACATTTTTAGGGGGAACCATAAAGCACAACTAAATAAGGAAACAAAAAACAAAGATAACTAATAACTTGAAACTAGAGACAAAAATGCAACTACAATTTCTTAAGAAAGATGCAATCTACCCAAATGGAACAAAAAACAGCAAACAGATGAGACAAAGCACAAAACTCAAGAAGGCAGATTTACAACCAAATACACTAAATATTAGACTAAATGGTAAAAACACCACTTAAAAAGCGGGGATTATTGTACTGAATGAAAAAAGCAAGCCTCCTGTGCTCAAAATATAAGAATCTAGATGTTCATAGGGAAAAGGATGGGGAAAATATATTTGATGCATTAATGTACCATACTGTTTATAAATAGGTCAATTTAAATAAATTGTGACAGATTGCTTATTTATGACTGGAACTTGTACCTTATGGATAACATTGTTTAAATGAATAAATTTTTATAAAGAAATTGGAAAAATAAGATATATTCATGTGGTTTAAGTGATTGAAATTTCATATTTTGATGCACTAGCTATAGTTACCAAACTAATAACAAGATGAGTGACAAATAATTCAGGGCAAAGAACCACTTTTAGAAATGAGGCAAAATAGATAGATGAGGAAACAAGGAGATTATATTATTTTAATAAATATTTAAAGGGCTGGACTCAGAAATTGGAGCAAGGAAGTAAAAGCTGGAGAGCCAGAGCAGCTAGGCCCCTCCTATCATCTGTCTGGAAAATGGAAGTCCTAAAGCTCACCTATTGTCCCTGAGTTTTGGGTAGGTCTAGGTAACATCTTCATATTTTATAATAATAAACAGAACCCATGTTGGGCACTCAGAACCTTTATCTAATGGTTAGGGCTGCTAGATTTCTGGTGACCTGGATTCTCCAATCCCAGGAGAGTATAAGACCACAGATATTGAACAACCATTTTGATTCTTTGTTCCTATTTCAAGAGTGAGGAACAGGAAATTTTTTTTCCGTTTTCTCCCCACCTTCCCCCAAACCTTGCCCATATTTTATCATGATATACTAAAATAAGTCCTTGCTAAAACATCCACCTTATGGGGACTCCTTGTTGTGAGATTCCTTGAGTTGCTTTTCAATGTTTGTGGATCTCAAGGACTTGTGGTTTTTGCATGAAAATTGAGAAGCTGTGGGAGCCTGCTCATCTGTACTCCAGTGACAGAAAGATGTTGTAAGCCTTACAAAGGAAATTGACTTTGCTGAAAGGATAATGGGAAGCATGCACTCTGCACTCTGTTTGATTACAGAAAATTGATTAGAAACAGGAAGGCACAAAATCAAAGAAATGAGCTAGAAATGTATTGAATCAGTTGAGTGTGAGATGCTGGCGGAATAGTTGAGGATGACTGCAAGAGAGAGAGAACTGAACAGATTTAGACATATTTAACATTTGTATAGATAATGCCTATTCATTGCATGCATTTAAGCTGTAGAAGAATCCAGATTGAGTCTCAGATTTTTCATTGGGATAACTAGCAAAATGATATATAACTCCAAGGGTTCTTTCATGCAAATTTTGAGCAAACTGCTGAAACTCGAGCTTGAAATAGAGAAGAAAAAACAATTTAAAGTTCAATGAATATTATGAAGGGAGCAAACAATATTGTGAAATTTGTCATCAGTGGGGTGGAGTCTGTGATCAGAAGACATCCAAATTCTTGTGTCCCACGGAAAGAATCCATGGCAGGACACGTGGGTGTAAATGGAGTTTATTAAAAGTTAGGGACGGGAAATACAAAAGGGAGCATGCTGGGACCCAGGTGGAATCTGGAGGCAGAGAGAGTGTAAAAATTAGGAATGGAGAGAGAAGGTCCTCAGAAAAAGAAACTTTCTTCTCTGGAAAAATCTTAAACCTACTACCTGAAAAATGAAGGGAGAGCATGTGAAAAATGAGAGGAAAAAATACTCAGTAGAGGAAAGAGAAAGTGAATCTCACTGGAGAGGGGACAGTGTATTCAGAGAAATGAAAGACAGAAACTCTTCACTGAGCAAAGAGTGAACAAACAAATCTTAAGGGTAATACATAAAGTGCAGAGGCAAGGGCCTGGCACAGAGATTGGGATCCTATCTAAGAGCAATGGGACTATATTCATCACATTGAGTTCTTTGATTTGTACTGATTTATTTTACTTTTAAGAAATCACTCTGGAGAAATTGGTTGCAAAAAGTCAATGGCAAAAGATTAGATATCCTTAGAAGACCTTTGCAACATTTCAGGAGAATCACAGTGAAACTGGAATGTGATACACAGGAAATGTTTTAGAGAATGACGCATCAGGATTGAAGGGAAAGAGCAAGGTTTCTGGCTGAAACCTCTGGGATAGTAGGAATGCCATTATCTTGGGTAGGGCAGACTGAAAAGGAAAGGTTTGGAAACAGAATGGAAATGTCTTTGAAACATTAAAGAGAAGACATTACGAAGGAAGTTAGCCTGTCAGTCTGAAAGTCCTCTATGAGGCACATCAAATTTCCTGGGCATTCATACTATGGCTCTATATTTGCAATTTATTTGTCACCTGTTCTTCTCTGCAGTTCTTCTATAGCTCTAGTGATCTATCTTCCCACAATAGACTAAAAGATGCTATGTGTATATTAACATCTAAGCTGTGTATTGACTTAGGCCAACCAAGTTTTCTTTCTGACTGGCATAGGGACAAACAGTGAGCAGGGACAATTAGATGAGTGGATTTTAAGGAGTAGAATATTATGTTTATGGCATTAGAAAACTTTTTGTTTGTTGGTAGAACTGGAGGTTGAACTCAAGCCTTCATGCTGAAACACTCTATCACTTGAGTCATGCCTCCAGTCTGTTTAGCTTTGGTTATTTTGGAGATGGGTTCTTGTAATCCATTTGTCTGGGCTGGACTTGAGTCATGATCCTCCTGATCTCAGCCTCCCAAGTAGCTAGGATTACAGGCTTGAGCCACCAACCCTAACTGAAAATTTTATTATAAATGTTTCCATAGAAAGGAAGAAGAAAAGATTACAGAAAATAAAATTTTATTCTTCTTAGACCCACAGATCAGATTCTTCTGATAAGATTTCCTTCAGTCTCTGGATATGTTGGCTGATGCTTATAGGCATGGTCACTTTAGGCAGGGAACAGAGGAAAGCAGGGAGGCAGATTATTAAATGAGGGTCAATGTATACCTGTGTTGAGCTTCTGAGTCACTGGGTTTCCCTAGAGATATATGCCCATGAGTTCCAAATTCTCACCATTTTTGTTTTAGAAAAAACAACCCAAATCATACAAGAGCAAATGTACCTGTTACCTTCAGAGAGTAAAAGGAATTATGGGACTAGGGTCAAGGTAATCTGGGCTCTTGAGTATGAGAACTTTGGGTTTGTATATGAGAGTCCAGATATCAAACTATGTGTGATTATTGTCACTACTAGCACAAATAATTGAGGCAGTTAGGTAAAGATGAGCCTGGTTATATATAGTTTGGAAAGGATAGAGATTACAACAGAAGATAGAATGGGACATATGTTATTTCAATGATTAGGTAGATTTCCTCAGATACAGGTTTTCAGTAAGTTTTTAGTGATCAACATATAGTGATTTATCTTCTACTTTTCAGTAGAGGATAACATGGTAACAGGTAAGATGATAACATTTCCTCTTATATAGTATTGCCAAGATAAATGAAATCAGTGCATGAATTATTTAGTGCAGTTTTTTGCATGAAGTTCTTTAAGAAAATAATGCTGTTATAATTTTGGTTATTAGAGGCTCTTTCCTTCCAAAATTTTACAAATACAGAATGCTGTAGTTTAATTTCTTTTTTGCTCATTGAGGATCTTGTCTAGCTTCTGTTTTTTTGTACTTTCTTTCATCAGTTGCACATGTTTTTATGTATTATTGGTCACATTTCATTACAAAGCAACTAGGTCAACTCCTTCATACCTAAAAGCTTCCATCTTGTTTAATTAATTATCTAAATAAGAAGGTAATTTCCTCCTCTAAATATGGTTATTCTTGTTAGCAAACAATCTTCCCTATCTTGTATTGAACCTTTTCATATCTGACATCTCTATCATTGTCACCAAATTTTGTTATTTTTAAATTAAGCTGAACCACCAGGAATCTGACCCAAAAGAGTAGTTTCTGTAATTTGACTGCTTTCCTTTTAAATTATACCTACTGCTTTCTACTTGACTTCAATGTTTTTGTTGAATCTTCCAGGTTAGCAAAGTTAATTTCTGAGTCTCTACAAAAGTACTACATGTGGTTTTCTTGTTTCTTCTTTAAATGGAACACTGTTTTCACATTGTTTTATCTCTAGCTTAGGTAGAGACTTGTAATTGCTTCTGAAGCAATTGATGAAGGAAGGATTACCATTGGGATACCCTGATGTCCAAAAACAGGCACTATTTAAATCTCTCTGTAGGTCACAGATACCTGTGTCAATATAATTCCAGCTCCAACTTGCTTCACTTTTTTCTTTTCTAGGTTAGCGCAAAAGACCTCTAAAGACAAGAAATAACTACAGGTAAACACAAAGAAAACTGTACAGAGTCCTACATGGCTTCTTTCCAGGACTTTCCTTTTGGCCAGATTTATTTTCTATTATTTTAATAAATTATAAATTATAATAAATTATAAATTATAACATTTATTATAAAAACGTTATAGGTTTAATATTAAAAATTCTCATACTTCACTTTAATGTTTTTACTTTTAATTTTCTTACAACCAGATATTTTTACATTCAGATTGGCTTTGCCTATAATAAAGTAATGCTTTATTGTATAATTTTCAATTAGAGTTGTTTTCTAACATGACTAATATTTACCTCTTTCTAGTTTATACAGCTTTTTCAACAGTATGACATCAAAATAATGAATAAAAATTTCATTGATTTGTGATGAATTTCATGAAGATGTGAATCCTTTCTGCTTTGGTTATCTTCTCTTCACTTTTTATCACTTTTAAAGTGTAATTAATTGTACAAAGTAATGAGCTTCTGTGTGGCATTTTCATGTTCTGTCTCCTCTACCCTCTGCAGTCAAAAAAAAGACTTTCAAGTCCTTTCATTTTGAATCTAGATTCTGCCTATGAGAGAAAGCATGCAGTATTTGACTTTCTCAGTCTGACTTGTTTTTCTTTACCTGATCATCTCCAGTTCCATCCATTTTCTTGCAAACAACATAATATTCTTCTTTATGGCTGAATAAAATTCCAGTGTATTTATAGTCCACATCATCTATATCCATTTCTCAATTGATAGGTACTGAAGTTGACTCCATAACTTGGCTATTGTGAATAGTGTCATAATAAACATGAGTGTGCAGGTATCTTTATAATAAGCTGACTGATTCTTTTGGATATGTACCCAGAAGTGGTGTAGCTGGTCATACTGTAGTTAATATTGTTAATTTTTTTCAAGAACTGCAATATTATTTCCAGGACTAATTTACATTCATCTTTTTATCTACAAAATACTTTGCACATAATCATATTTGCTGCTCAGTAAGTTGGAATGGATGAACGAATGATTGAATATTATCACAAAGTAAGAAGTGAAGCTAGGAGTTAAACTCAGATATTCACATCTCAAATTGTATACCCATGAATGGCATTCTGCCAATTCTTACTCTGTTTCTCCATGATGGCTGATTCCGCAACTGTGAATAAGAAATATGATTATTGTTTAACATATGGAAAAATCCTTTTAGAATGGGTTTAGAAAAACCCAGCCTATACTTGTAAAACTAAAATAAATAAAATCAATTAAAGTAAATTTACACAAGGAAAAACAGTTTTAGATTGGAAAACTTTGGTTTACTATATTTATCATTTTGCAAACTATTGTCAAGTCTTACACAAGCATAGGTAACATATGGGAAGATGTTTTAGATGGTACACAACACTATGAGGCAATACCTTAAACTTAATTAAAAAGTTTTTGTACTTTTAATGGTCACAATGCTTGAAAGCCATGCCAGAATGAGTAATCAATCACTATCCATTAAGTGTAATTGTAGACATAAAAGGAGCTCTTAGCTTCTGAGATCTGCTTGTAAATTTCCTTTCAAAAATCATGTCCTACAACCCACAGGTTGTTTCACCTTAAGTTTGAATGATTAAAGTAACACCATGCACTAACATGAAAAATATGAAGCTGTTTTGAAATCCTGTCTATACGTACATACACATTACATATGTTTGGAAATGCAGAATGCAAAGCAACTTTATGTTCATATGTCATTCTAGAAAATAAAAAGATTAGTTTTGCATGTATGTCTTCATTTTAAAGCTGAAAGTGTAATCCCCTGAAATTTGAATGTATTCAGGCCTCTGTGGTAAGATATTGTCCACAAAGGACAGCTTCCCCGTGTCAAGTCTGTAAAAGGTTAAAAGCGTATTTTGATACAATTAATTTCTAATGAACTTGCCAGAATTATGTGGTGTTTCCCAGGTTATTGAATGTGCTTGCTTTTCCTGTATCTGTAGTGGGCTCCTCCTCATCAGTCATTCCAACATATGACCGCCCAGCAAGGTGCTCTCTGAGCACAAGAAAATATTTTTATTTTTTATGTCTATCATTCTTTTGTCTCCAGAGTTTCTTTTAATTTTTTTGCGGTTTAACTTGGGGCCTTATGCTGACAGCTCAGTGCTCTACCACATGAGCTATACCTCCAGACCTTTTTTTTCAGTCACTTTTCAGATAGTCTTTCGCTTTTCCCCAGCTTGGCAATGGGCTGCCATCCTCCTTCTTATGCCTTCTGTGTAGTTGGGATTACAGACACGTAACACTTCACCCAGCTTATTTGTTGAGATGGGGGTCTCATTAACTTTTTCCCAGGCAGGCCTCAAACTGCAATCTTCTTGATTTCTACTTGCTGAGTAGCTAAGGTTTCAGGCATAGGCCACCATGCCAACCCCTGTCTCCAGAGTTTATGCAAGTACATGGTACAGAAAAGGCAATCTCTATATACTTGATGAAGGAATTAAGTATACCATTGTTGCTACTCAATAGGCTTTAAAAAACACTTTTTTTATTGTGATAAAACTATACTATGGGAAGAAAAGTTTGTAAAATCATCACAAATGTATTTCAATTACAAATTTATTTGTCAAATATATCATACAAAATTTCTTTTAATTCCATCTCTGAAGAACAATGTGAAATTCAACTTCTGAAAAAGGGAAATCATATATTCTGTATATCATATATTTGCATATTCTGCAAAAGGGAATATACATTTATGACAACAGAGATAGCTATACACGCATCTTTATTGTGGTGCTTTTTACAATAATCAGTCATGGAATCAGCCTAGAAGATCATCAACAAATGAATGGATAAAGAAAATGTAGCATATATACACAATGAAGTATTACTCAGCCATAACAAGAATGAAATAATTTCATTCCAGGAAAGTGGGTAGAACTGGAGATCATCATGTTAGGTGAAAAAAACCTCAGATTCAGAAAAACAAACATTGCATTTTTTTAAAGACAGAAAACAGAAGGGGGATGATTAGGGAAGAAGAAGGGGGCCAGTGGGAGGTGGAATGGGGGGCTATGATCAAAGCACCTTATAAACATGTATGAAAATGTCCTAATGATGTCCAGCATTTTATATGGTCAATATACACTAATAGAAAAGAATACATGCTTTTAAGATTCTAAGAAGATATTTATTTCACTACTAAATCATTTAAGTCACTGCTATAAATTTCAAATTATCTCAAAAGTAAGTAAATAAATCGCAGTAGTTTAACTTGTCACAAATTAATTTCTGCCTATTCTTATTACTGCAGATATCTCAAATACATGACCCATTCTACTGTTTTCTCAGATATTTTTTCCAAAATAAGTAGGCTGATTTTCATCTCCTAACGCTTGACCTAAATTTTTCTTTCCAAGATTCCATGGAAGGCTCAAGACTAATTTTCAACTCTTCATGATCTAAATGTGTAAGTCCAGCATGCATGATCTTTCACACTTCTATGAAAATGTGTAAGAACACATTGAAAAATGCTGCTGTCTCTCAACTTTCTTCCTTTCCATGTAGACTTATTTGGTAGGTAGAATAGATCATCTACCTATCTATCTATCCATCTATCTGTCACCTATCAAGTTAATCAGTAAATATAAAAATAAAAAACTAATTTGTGGAAAATATTGATTCCTAACAATAATGTGGATGCTCATTTGTCTCTTAGCATCACAATACTATTTTTTATATTTGTTAGAATCAAAGCATCTATTTCACTTTCAAAATTGTAAAAGTCTTATCTTTATTCATATCAATTATTTTTCTTCTTCTAGATAACTTAGACAGCCAAGATTTGGTTGATGGATGGAATAATAAGTCAGTGATTAGTGAATTCATTTTAATCGGCCTATCTAGCTCTCAGGAAATCCAACTCTTCCTCTGCTTTATCTTCTTTGTTTTTTATGGAGCTGCAGTATTGGGGAACGTCCTTATTCTCACAGTAACTATAGACTCTGGCTTCCATTCTGCATTGTGCTGTTTTCTTAGCAATCTCTCCTTCATTGATGTGTGTCAGGCTACATTTGCCATTCCCAAGATGACTGCAGACTATTTCAATGAACCCAAGACCATCACTTTCCAGGGAAGCATGTCACAAATATTTTCCTTGCATATTTTTGGGGATACTGAGATGGTGCTTCTTGTTGCTGTGGCTTATAATAAACACATTGCTATGTGCAAACCTCTGCACTATATGACCACCATGAGCTGAAGGGTCTGCACTGTTCTAGTGGGGATCTCCTGGGCCACTGGCATCCTATGCTCAGCTTGCCACCTCGCATTCACAGTTGATCTGTCTTTCTGTGGACCCAACAAGGTTGACAATTTCTTTTGTGACCTTCCTCAAGTGATTAAGCTTGCTTGCATAGGCACCTATATTTTGGAAATTCTGGTTCTCATCAACAGAGGTCTACTCTCACTCATCTGTTTTCTCCTTTTGCTCATTTCTTACACTATCATCCTTACTACTGTCCATTTCCAAGCATCTGGCAGGATGTCCAAGGCACTGTCTACCCTGTCAGCTCACATTACTGTGGTGTTTCTCTTCTTTGTTCCACTAATCTTCATATATATATATATATATATAAAACCCTTTGAAAGCTTTCCAATTGTTAAATTTATCTCTGTGCTTTTCAGTATCTTCACTCCTCTTCTTAATTCCATGATTTACACTCTGAAGAATAAAGATGTAAAGGAAGCCATGAAAAAGCTAAGGAGCTGACATGTTGATTCCAAATAGGCTTTCTAGACAACTTTGAGGAAATAAATACAAAAATCCTACTTCTTGGTCTTGGTAATTCACACATATGGCTGTTAGTATTGTGTTTCTAAAACAATTAGTCTTTTCCTACTAGAGGGCCTAAATATGGGATCTGAGTTGGAAAATGCACTGCAGAATCATTTTTAAAATTTTATTTTTGAACTACCATGAATTAATAATACAAGATTTCATTGTGATAATTCCATACATGTTATGCAGTGTACTTTGAAGAAGCTCACTCCAAAGTCTTTTATGTTACTTGTTTATATATTTAATGTGTCACCTTGTCTTTCCTGTTATCTTCTGCAACTACATATATTAAAACTCCTTTGTCGTTTTTACCTTTTTACTTAAAACTGCCCTCTAGCATTTTAAGATCAGCTTCATATTAAAGAAGAGTGGGTAATACATCTGAATTAATTTGGGAAACATAGAGAGGATTTAAACATTACTTGGGTTAAAATCAGAATATGCTTTGACATGACAGGATGTAGCTCAAAAGATGTTCTTCTGCCATAGCTTCATTCCCACAAAGAAGTACAAAAATTCCACACTAATGTTTGTAAGACCTGTCTTTTATTTATTCTTTGTGCTAAATTTGAAATACAAAGAATACTATAGTATTAATTACAGAGTTTTGTTGCTCTAGCTTTGAAATAAATAACATATCAATAAATATAACCAAATGTGTAGTGTAAATTGCAAGATTACTCATATACTCTCTGGGAGAGACATAAAGCATTTGTTTAGAAACTCACTGATAATAATTCAGTTGAAAATGACTGTGGTATATTTGAATATCTAGTGATTTTGTTTAGTTGATTTTACTTCAGAGTACAAATTTCACAGAGAAAACAGTTTTTAGAAAATATATTGCATACTTCTCTTTACCTTGAACTTCAATTGAAATTTTGAAAGTGTTCCACCAAATAGTGGAGAGAATAAGAGAAGGAAGGTGACACATGTTTGACTCAATACTGTATCAGGCACAAAACCTGGCACTGTCATTTCTGCATGACTTAATTCAAGTCAGGGGACTTTATTCTGTTTGTGTTATCTTTCAATTAATATTTGTAGTTTTTGAACCAGGATATGAGTGTGTGTTTTGTTTTTATCTCTTAAAATGATTTTAAGTCTCTAAGACAAGCACTATTCTATCTCTGAATATATTTGTCAGTATAGAAAGAATTTAATGCAAGTGCATGCAATAAGTGCTATGGCATCCAAAACAATGAATTCAGGTAAGTTCTATTATTGTTTTGTATAGATTAGGTATTTGGAGTGATGAAAACTGAAACTGGTAGAAAATTAGATTGTCTGTCTCTAAGTCTCAGTTTGTGAGGATTATTGTACTCTGGCAATATGATCTTTTTTATATTTTGTGTGATATTACATGAATGGATGTTATTTAATAAACTAATGTTGATTAAAATGCACTAATGAATATTCTGATGATGATAAATGCAAGGCAGTAAATGCAGAGGCAGAAGTCATGATCTCCTGTTCCATAAAAGTTTTCAAATTCATCAAGATAATGCTAAAACGTTCATTCACAAGAAATAAAGGCAGGTAAAGTGTATAGGACATATTCAAGCACATATGTTTAATTAACAGTCTAATGTGGTAATGTTCAATTTTGTTCAATTCAAAGCAATCCGATGAATTTCATCACATTTTTACTTAATTTATGCTGAATATTGTAAACACTAAGGGAGGTTAAGGAATATATCTGGCCTTGTGAAAACAACGGTATAGTAATGAAGTAGGGAATCACAGGAGTGTTGAATGAAAACTGATTAATATATATAAGGGATATAGAACAGTATGACCAGAAAAGACATTTAGTTGGTGAACCATCAAAAAAATCACACAATTGATATTAACCTAATGGATTGCCCAGTTTATGTTTAACACTACAGATTCAGTGACCCTGAAACCCCAACTTGTTGATAATTCCATGAATCTTGAACTAATTTATCAAATTTGTTCATTTGTTGAAAATATAATAATCTACAAATCAAGAAGTCACAACATTGTTATAGGAATAGAATTCAAATGATCAGTTAATGGCTTTGGTAAATCTGTATCATAATGAAATTTTTTGGTTATTTGGTTAACACGTGCAAGGTCATTGAATTCTGTGCAGAGCAATGTTAGAATGGGAGCTTTTTTGTCTCAGCTGAGTCCCTCTTATTGACAAATCCATGGCTGTATATAATCTTCCTTAGCTGTTTCCACAAATCTAACCTGGTTAAAATCAGGACACATTGGCCTATAAATATTGTAATGGAAAGCTGACATTGTTTTTCTATCCATATGTATACTTTTAAAACTTAGCTTTCAAATGACAGCCTTATTTCATTACCTATTTACTTCAAAAGTTTTGTGGGTCACATATCATAAAAAGAAAATTCGAAGAAAGTATATATAAATGGTACACAAAATTAGAAAAATATATTCCAGCTAATAGATGCTAAGAATGTAAATTAAAACAAATGACAAGTATCATTTGTCTTACAGTTTGATAAAGAACAAAGCAAAAGGACAATATGAGATAACACTAAAAATTTGGAAACAAATGGAGGCTGTAATTTTCTAAAAATTGTTGGATGGTGTTTTGAAAGCAATTTGCTATATTTATCAAAATATGCCAATATTCATGAGCTAATAATTTTATTTCAGCAGTCAATCTTGAGTAATTTATTTTTTAGTTTTGTAACACAAAATTAAAGTCTTATTTGTGTTGGATATCATGGGTTCAAAAAGATGTTGTTGGGTCTGGAGACCTCAGGCAGATGAGTGAGTATCCCATCCCCCTGTGGAGAGCACTATGATTTCTGCATTCTGAGAAGTTAGAGATCTGCATTCTGCACCATGAGAAGGAGTTGTAAATCTGCATTTCTGCATCCTGAAAAGGAAATACAGGGTCTCATAGATCTGCCACAGGGTTGATGAACAAAAAGTTCTGAAGATTGAGTCCCCTCCCCCCAATAAGGGGGAACAAACCAGTTCATCTAAGAAAGCCCATGAATCCACAGACAATGAAAAGAACCCACTTAACCCAGAGTTAAAACGTCCATAAAAATCCCAGCCTTCACCTGAGCAGAGAGCTACCATTTGCCAGGCTCCATTGTACTGCTGTAGCTGTAGCCTTTCCTCTCTTTCTAATAAATCCTACTTCATATACCAGCTTTGGTTCAATCAACTGCCTCACGAGCCAGTTCTCTGGCCTGTGAGGGCAAAGAGCCTCAACACCGGCCTGCAATGCTTCAAATCAGCATGTAATATTTTGGCAACTGCATGAAGGGATATCTCTCTTGGACCAAGGTTGGTATGACTTGAGCGCCAAATCAGCAGGGGCATGCCTAAGGTATGACTGTGAATGTCTATGGCCCTGCTGGATGCTCCTGCTGGGGGAATACCCCTGATGAGGACTAGCCAAAAGCAGACTTCCTTGCACTACTTGCCCTGTCTGTCTCTGCTCCTGTCTTCGTGAGGGACTTTATTGTCATGGTATCAAACCAACAGCTTATAACCAACTTTGGTCTCATGCTGATTCAGGCTCTGGGGGTGCTCTTGCTCTTTCCCTGCAGGCCAAGACTGAGCCTGGGGTTTATTCTGGTTCACCTCGTGCTACATTGGAGGAGACCTGATTGATTTTGGTACCTGATGATTTTTCATATTTTCCCACCTGTCAAATACCCTTTCTGCAGGAGGCAGTCACCTGAGAGTGGAGATCTTGTGTGGTTGACAGTATTCCAGTACCACTTAGTGAGAGTGACCTGGAAGCACACTTAATCATTAATCCCTCCAGACTCTGCCTTCCCCTGTCTTACCTAAGATGTCAGGTCAACCCTTTTGTCCCCACTAGAAGCAGCAGACATACTTTTACTCACATGCTTCCTCCCTCATCCCACCACCTTGTCCTTCATTTCTGTCTTCCTTCCCCTCTCTGTGATTACTGGGAACCTGGCGTCCAATGGAAAACTCATACCATGGTACCTTATGATTTTCTTAAGTTACTACCACACCTTTTGTCATGCCCCTCAGTCCATAGTAACTTTAAATCAGCTGCTGGGTGCTGGCAGAGATGAAGGATCCCCAAGGAAAACTGTGGCCAGGCTACACACATGCCCTAACTCCACCCCCACAAGGGGTACCAGCCCCCAGGCACAATAGTAACACCTTCCATAACTAAGCCAATCCATAGAGAGGACCTGGCACACCTCCAAAGCTGTCAGCCATACACTGTGATGACTGTGACCCACCACCACTCTCCCAAAATGGGATGAGAGGAAAAATTAACACACACAGGCACACGTACATGGGGGGAAGAGAGACAGGCCACAGGGGCAAGTCTGGGAAGACAGGATCTGCTTGTCCCTGGCATGGGAGGATGATGACACTTTGCTTAGGCCCTCCTCACAGCCCCACCTCACACCTTGGGTCTGCCTGACCCAGTCCTTGGAGTTAATTCTTACTTGAAGGTTATGGTCCCAAAAAGCACTAATGTAACCTTCTGGAAACAGCAAAAAATTGGCATTGCTGTCTTGTCTAATCTCATTTAAAGTTTCCTATACTTTTGCCTCAGCATAAAAAAAATCTTTTTTTCCTTCCAAACATTAACATTAGTTGTCCTCGTGGCACTGTGGTTGCCCTGGGACCCCCTCTGAGTGCTCTTCTCTAACCTTACAGGCACCTCTCCAGGGGATGCATCCTTTTGCTAAAGAAGTAGACTTTATTAAAGAGGCTGCATGCTTTTGGCTAAAAGGCAGCATCCTAGAGTTTTTCTCTCACTGTGTTGGTAAGGTGGCCTATACCAACCAGTTACTTCACTTCCTTTGGTCTTGGTCACAGATGGCAGAAGGAAGTCATGAGACAGAGATGCCTGCTCTCATTAATTAGGTCTGATCCCCATTCAGGGAGATGACAAAAGGTGAGTCTGACAAGTTCTTCTAGAT